CTTTTTAACGAATAAGTCCAACTCCCTCCATATCATAATGCTTGCAATAAACCAATTGAGATGCACGCAAAATAACTTCAAAAAAAGTTTTCTCATTAATTCAACACTCAAATGCCCATTTTACGGGGGTCGAGCCCGACCAGGGCATAACGGAGAAGTGTCACAAAAATCACCAATTTCATGGACAAATGCATGAAAAGGAAATAAATGATGCCATATTCGAATTCGTGCCATTATTTCAGAATATGCAAACGATGTCCTTAGTTCTATCCAGAATCAATTCCTGATGCCATTTTCATCTACCGTTGGATCGTTGTTATTTTGAGTTGTTCTTCTTGATGCATTCTTTTCGACTTACTATTAATGTAGAAACTCAGTTCGGAGAACAACGCTACTATAAGCTGGCAATTTCATATTTAAAATAGAACCATTTTCGTTCTCTATCCATCTGGACGTCTTGACGCGATGCAATTGAATTTTCCGTGGCAATCCTTAAAACTTTCCTCTTATTGGCTCATTAGAAATGAACAAATTCATTAGGATTTTAAAATTTTTTTGATTATGAATTTGGATTAATTCTGCAGTTTGCAACTTTTTTCCTAGATTATCTCCATCACTGAACGTAGAGTTTTTGTGTTAACCTAAACGTATCTCGAGAGATCCAATGGAGTTTTCTTTTTCTGCAAGATTTCATTATTGCGACGTTTGCAGTGCAAAATTTTTGTCGATTGTTGAATGAAAGCATGTAGAAGTCACTGATGTTTCCGTTTCCCGTGGACAGTTTTTTTCTCCCGCTAAACTTTGCAATTTGATTTTCTTTTCACCGAAAGAGCAGATTATTAGTGTCATACTACATAGGTATCTGTTGGTCCTAAAATTCCAAAGTTGATGCTGAACTGGGAATGTGGAATTGCCAATCCCGGACTACCGAGTCGGATCGAGGCTTGGCGAGATGGACCAAAAAATTTGCCTGGTCTTGGTCCGTTCCGGGACCGGCAATAGTATAATTTCCAGCGAACAACCGTCTAACCTATCCGGTCAGAAGCGCTTCATTTATTTGTTTGAGCTAATGATATGAATGATTGATTACAGGGTCACTCAACGGGGAAAGAACGGTACAATATTTGGATTGGGATGAGCTTCGCTGGAGTCGGCACAAGAGGTCAGTTCATAATCATGACTTTATTTCGGTTGCATCACAAATTTAAGAAGTTCCTCTCAGAAATTCTGGAAGTGAGTATTTTTGATGTATTTTTCTCATAACATTCACGATATTTCATCATGATGAATCATATGTTATCAGTCGAATGTAAATAGACCACATTGAAAAATTCGTAGGATACTTTTCTAAAGCGTCGCACATAGCAGACGTGTAAAGTTACGTATTGATTTGATGACTGTCACATATTAACCATCAAAACGTCATTGTCTGCACTATGGAATAATGCGATTGGCTTATATTCCGACGAAACGTGTACATTAATTTATTCAGTTTTGTTTAACGCTCATTCTCCGTAAACTTCTCCGGTTGACAGTACTAAACGAATTTCCATTTAGGTTCATGTGATTTCAGTGTTCGAAATGTAGATTTTAGTACATAGAAGTGATGGGTCTAGTTATAATTGGTTTTTGAATACGTGCTACTTGTTTGAAGGTAATGAAAAAATGTATGCAGGAGATTTCTAGGATACGGAGACTACACAGGATTTGGTAATTTCAACACTTTCGAGGGAGATCAGGTACGCGTCGCAATGGATGAGGGAGCTACTCCACAGCCACTTTCCGGCAATGGTCGTCGTCAGGGCAATGCGAACTTCAATCTACAGCAGGTTATTTCCATTTCGGATCGCTTTTCTGTTGTTCACATGTGGTAGTGCATCCTTCAGTCATATTGTTTAAGAGTGTACTCAAATGGCTCTTCAAACGTATCCTCGGATTATATTCGAGTTAAATGCTGATGTGTTGTGCAGGAGTTGATGTGGATCAAGCAGGACTCTGCGCAGATTCGTAACGCAGTGATGTTGTTGGAGAAAGAGAAGGATAATCTGCGCCAGGCAGTGCGCAAGCTGAAACTGGAGAATGCACGTGTCAAGCAAAAGATAAAGCGTATGCAAGAGACGATCAATGGTTTGACTGGACAGAACACTGACGCCGACAATATCAAAGTTGGTGCTGCCGAGGTGGATCTCGATTATGATGATATTGGACGTGATTTCATTCTTGTTGGAGGTATATTTCTTTGCGTGCTATTTGCTTTGCTGTGTGTGCCTTGAAAGTGCTGAATGTTTAATTTTGATGTTTTTTTGTACATTTTCAGTCTCTCAGCAGCTTAGTCATGCAGGATACAGAAATTGATTTCAAAAATTCTCCATGCAACATTTATGGGATTTATTCTTTGCGTAATTCAGTGACAAAGAATTAACCGAGTTAACTTATCTAAAGGTAAAACGAACGATTCATTTGATACATTCACAATTTGCAGGAACACAGGATCCACTCAGTCTTCGTTTTGAAGTTACAATCCGTGATGAGAGAGGCACTGAGCACAAATCGGCTGAACGTTATTATTGGTACATTTTAAAAACGTTTTTGAGTAGTTAAGGCATGTCATTATGCAACTTTGGTGTTATGAATTTTGTTTATGGCATTCACAATGCGCTGATACTAGANTGTTTGCCATTTACAGGTATAAGATGGCAGAGCATTTCGATGATAAGGAAACAATGGCGAAGATTCTTGACGCTCCAACGACGATCAAGGCTGAGGAGGCAATGAAGGAAATCAAAGGATTTGATGAAGCGAAGTGGAATGAGGTTATACCTAACCATTTTGCGGACAAATAAGTAATTCAAAAATTGATTGCATTATCTTTATCATCCAGCGCCTATTAATCTCCCGTCATTGGTTTATCGATTCCGGTTGATTCATCTATCGGCAAGGGCTAAATCACTTGTTTTAGGTCAAAATGTCCGTGTGGGAAGCGGGCCAACGTCTCAAATTGGAACAAACTCGTTGGATTTCCAATCTCTTAGTGTACACAGGAAAGACGTACATTGCAGTAGCGTCGCAAGATAAGGTTCTCTTGAAAATTGATTGGTGTTTGAATTAAAGAATGCTCGGTTTTTTGAAGAAGTGTTGTAGATTCACGAGTGTGCTTATATGAATAATGAGTGTGTGCGTTTATTTAAGACATTTGGAACGGGATGGCGCAAAAATAGAGATGAAGCTAATAAGCCGATTTTCTGGGATGGCGAGAATCAAGGTGGTAAAGCTCTGATGAGACTTCGTCAACAAATTAAAGAGACACATTCGTGGTCTGGACCATATGAAGAGCAGGTATGTGAAGCATTCAGTTGAGTGCTGTAAGGAATGGTGATGCTTTACTGAGCGGATGGGTTGCAGGAGATAGAGAAGCGTTATAATGAACTGAAGAAGTACGTATGGCGTCGTATCGATCCAACACGTCGTCTCGGTCTGCTGCGAGGTCGTGGTCGCGGGTTCGGACGTCGTGGTGCTTACGGTGGACGTGGTTATGGTGCGCCGAGTGCATTTGCCCCGTCGATGCGTCATTGATTCACGAAGTATCGATCAATTCATTCATTCTCTTTGTTGTGTGCTTCAAATTCAAATCCCTCCCCGTTGACAGTTGGAACCGCCTTGTCGGTATTTTAATGGTCAGTTAAGCAATGCTCACTGCATTCGATCGATCGGCTACTGGCTCGCGCATCTGTCATTCATACTCCCTTCACCTTTATTCCATCCTAACAATGATCTTTTTTTGTAGCTATCTCTTTACTTCATTGATCTATGCTGGTTTATTTTGGTTGTTTTTGTGCTTTATGCGACGATTATCTCAATTATTTCCCTCTCGCAGGGAGATAAATCCCCTTCAAAATTTTTCTTCAATATCCACAACCCCCAATTAATTTCTATTCTCTTAACTCCACAATTTTATTCGCTCAGATACAACAAAAAATTCACATTCTATTTCAATAACATCATACATTCCCAAACTTTGAGAGCATCTTCGCGTAAAGTGAACGACTGTTAATAGTGCCAGTATAAGTTGTTTTCTTGGTATGTTCGCGTTAATTGTTTTTATAGCTACATAATAATGATAATATAATTTTATGACATAATATAGCTTAGTTGTTGCTCGCGCTGTTATCTGTTGCGTGTGCTTTTGTTTGTTGATCCAGTTTTGTCGACATATTTTTATTGTTTCAACTCTTTAAACATTCACAGCAACTATCTCCATCGCCCCATTTTAATTGCGGTTGATTTGTTTTTGTTTCGTTCCACCGCTTTGAAGTGATGTTAGCATCTTATGGCCAACCGCGTGTTGTTTTTCACTAATAAACTCACTTTCATTCTCGTTGTGGTTCTCGTTCACTTACCAGCGACAACTTACATTTATCGCGTGAACTCACCATAACTTGATTCAAAGAAGTCATCGATTGTGAGGTTGATACCGATGAAGTTTCGCTTTCATTTCAATTTTTGAACGGGGGAAGATATTAATTGTTGGAGATCGATTCGAAGCGTACTTGAAATAATGAGCTGTAAGCGAAACGCAGTAGCGATGATACCAGTGGAAGATGTGTTATGAGTCAGTTGCGTTGACTAAGGTTAACGCTTTTCAATTAAGGTGAAAAACCGGAAATTTTATTATTCGAAAGGAGGAGGTAACCTAATTCTGGAGGTACATTCAGTGGGTTGGTGGAGCGTTAATTCTTACATGCTTATAACATGAGAACAGTAGAAGGATAATTAGTTTGTTGTGTGGTTGAATGATTTTGATTGGATCGAGGAGTGTATGACGAATGTAGCATTCACTTCAGAGGATGATCAATTAGGTTACTATCTGTCGATCTGCAAGCTTGGACTACAGTTGGGTTCATCGTTAACCTTTAACAAGAAAAGGTCACGAACTTACCCCCACGTTTGGGAATGAGATATATATCATATTGTAGACCTCCGCGAGCTGATCATGCATACGTAAACAATCTNAAACGACAGTGACGATCGTATTGATACTATCGAGGCATAATGAGATATGTATCTTTCTGAGTGTGGTTTAATAATTCATTTGAATGAGGTACATGTTGAGTTAGTTGCTTATTAATCTGAACAGATGCCTTGCAGTGATAATAAGTATTGATAGAATGGGAAATACAGTGTTTCTGTTTCACTTTCGACTTACGAAAACATATTATGAATCAGTCAGTTTGCATTCAAAAATTCACCTCACATCATCCATTCAACAAAATCTGAAACATTTTAGACGATCAAAGTAAAGCGGGTCTTAAGGTGTTGTTTTGTGTGATTCGAACCGCAGAAAATATCGTTTATATTTTGTAATAAATCGACAATTTCAGATGATATAATGAAGCAATGTAATTGTCTAGTGAAGTGATAATCCGACCGTTTCAATAATCATAAAAGTTTTCAATTTCCCAGTCGTAAGGATCATCCGTTTTTGTATTTGATGGTCTGCACTGATTCAAATAATTATGCATTTTGATATGCTCAGGAAATTGATTTGACTTTAACTCGTTTATGTATTTGTAACATTCAATGAATGGCTCTGGCATTTCGTTGCATATTTCCTCGATACTCATATTTTCTTTCATGCGTAACATTTCACGTGGTGAACTCTTTGCCCATGGTAGCTTCGAGAGTGTTATCTCAATCTGAATAGTGATATTCATTAAATTCAGGTAACGTATCGATGACTATGAGTGGCATAGTTGTTCACTATTGCTTCATTGCAATAGTGACTGAATAGGAAGAAGAACGGATGCAATTAATTGTAAGTTGATGAAACGAACGCATGAGAAAAGCCATCCAATCAGATCATCAACAGGTCCACATTCTCGAGATAATAATGCATTTACTGATGCGTATCTAATAGTACCCTTAAAGGGTGCCTTCTTTCGAAACGGCTTGAAATTCCCTTTCGAATCACAAAACTGACGACACATCCCTGCAATTCCCCACAAATGTGGTACTCAAGAAATAAATTGTGATCGTTATCTTATGCCAAGAGAATAAAAGTGTAATGCGCACACATCTGATAAATACTCTGATCCAGCAAAAGGTCCATGCTGGATGCTCATTCANAGACAGCAATTCGTTGGCTTCACATCGCGATGAATGTAAGTTGCTTCGTGCAAGTGTTGTAATGCAATCGAAATCTGTTGAGTGCAATATTGGATTTATCATTCAATAAGCTTGATAAATGTGGCGAATTGATGACTGTTTAAATGAAACTTCAATTGATCATGCAATAATACAAACAAAATTCATCCACAATATTCACTTAAGCAAAGCAAGCTATCAGCACGCTTGCTAAAGACATATGTCTCTGTCTCACGATGTTTCAATACGACATAAAAATTATTTTTACCTGTTCTGCAACACGAAATGCGGTTGATGCAGTGAATCGCTTTTCATCTCGTCTCTTTCTTAGATCTGTCAAATTCTTTCCGAGCATTTGCATGACAATGAAGGGATATCCCTTGATCGTTTTACCGCTTGCAAAAATCAGTGGAAGGTAAGGCTGAAATGCATCACTGAATGCAATCATATTGCATTAGTGCAGAGAGTAATCGTAATGATTCATGTCATAATACGAGCAACTTCATCTGCATTCAACCTCGTCGTATACATTAAAAGTAAGCAAAGCTGGTTTCGCTGATCGAAATCAGTTGCAATGAATAGATTAGTAATCGCGATCATACATCAGATGGTAACCTTTTTGCGAATAGCTATAAGAACGTTCTGCTCGAGTACGAGTCGTCTTGGATCATTTTGTTTATCATTTCTGTCAGCAATTGGTTCTACTTTTATTGCAACATCACGATCCTTCACGTTATCTTTACCTCTCAAATTCACTCATCAGCATTGAATTCAATGGGATAAGTTATCTGCTTTATTACAACGTAAAGCTATGAACAGGTTATCGCATTGACTATTGACGCATCCGACCGACGTTCGATCGGAATTCCGACATCCAGATTCCGACCAAATAATGTTGAAATTCGATCGGAATTCCGAAGGTCGGAAATTCAAACTGTCAGTTCGGTCGGATTTCAGACGACTTAAAATTTCGTTCAAATGCCATCGCCAGCATAAACCCAAAATTA